TATATATATATATATATATATATATATATATATATATATATATATATATATATATATATATATATATATATATATATATATATCAAGTATTCGACTCGGTATGAAATAAAAATCCCGTAAGTGAAGGCGTTAGATAAGAAAACAGGATTCAGGGCGGAAAAAGTGCACAGATAATTTGAAATTATGGAACAGGTAGTTGGAATAGTGTAGGCAATGTAGACAAGCTTAAATTAGTATGATAATGCAGAGGAAATGATCGATAGAGGATATGTATAATAGGCATTAATAGAAGGTAGAAGTACACACAAAAGAAGGAAGAAAAAGATACAAAAAATGAAGAGAAATAATATTAGTAACTAGAAATAAGGAATGGATGATTAAGGAATATAATTGTAAAGTCGTCTTTTTGGCTATGTAAGTTGAAGGAAAATATACTGATATAACTAGTATATGAAATGAAAGGAAAGGAAGTCAATTAGTGCAAAATTTCGATCTATTACTTGGTTACGAAATATTCTACAGTAACTTCTGCTATAAAATTTCCTCCGTACGGACACCCAAAGAATCCTATTTTTCTTGTAATACGAAAAACTTCCTATAAAAATCTGCTGGATGAATCAGACGATGGATGATCTGATCTTTTGCATCAACCACACACGTTATTCATGAACTCTCGACAGATTCAACGAAGCTCGCAGCCGCCATAAGTGATTCGTCCGCGCGATCAGCTCGGCAACGCGGATTTACCTCGTTCGCGCGTTCCGCGCGCGTTTCCTTCTTCAGCTGTGCGGGAAATCGCTGTCGCGTTTCCGCCTTCGATCTGGATCGCTCGTCGATCTTGCGAGCGGGCTTGATCGGGCCGGGTAGCGCGAACTCGTTCCGATCCTTGCAGCCATAAACGCCGATGGTGATCTTCGGCGGCGATTCCGCCACCACGATTCCGTCCGGGTAGCTCCTGCATCGCGTGGTCTCTTGCCTGGTCTTGTCGATCAGCCGCCTCCTCTCCACCGGGTTCAGGTTCAACTGCTCGATGATCGCCCGTATGTTGGACGATATGCTGGGCTCGCGATGCGACACCACCATGATGGTGACGAGGATGCGCGCGTAACTCGATCGCGATTTATTTCTCTCCTCTCACGCACGTGCACGCAGTAACCGCACACTGTCGGCTCACAGTCGAGGTTCCCGCGACTGGAAACACGCGACTGTCGTGAAAAACGGAGCGGCGACACGAGATGGTTCTTCAATTTTCCGCGAACGCGACTCCTAATCCTTCACTTATAATCCCGACTTCTTTTTTCTCACTCGCCAGTCTTGCACCCTACGCTTGCTATTGAAGCATAATGTCGTGTTAATTAAAATTTATGGAATTTGAATTTGCACCCAACAAATATAATCCCATCCTTAACAAAATCCTCTTATGTTACGTCAAGAGGACTCTTCTGAAACCAAGGAAAATATTCTAAAACTCAAAAAGAAGAATTGCCATTTTCCGTAATTCCATATTCCAAGCGAGAACTTTTACCGAATTCTTTCTTAATAAAGAGGATTTTTTAAATAATATTTTTTAATAATACTGGACTTATAATATTTTCTTTTTGGTTTTAGAAGAATACTCTTGGAGTCATAACACAAAGAGGTTTCTTACTAAGGATAAGATTATATTTTTTAGATATATTCTCTTGGATACGCTGTAATTTTTCCGACCCGGCGTTACGTGAATTTCCTACGCGATCGAGCCGCGTTACGTTCGATCACCTCGATTTGCCTCGCATCCGAGCGAAAATTACACCTTCTACGCGTGACGTCAAGGGAATACGACACACCACGACAGTCCCTTGGCGTATAATGAACTGCGATTAGTTTTCCAATCAAGCGGCTAAATTTCCCACGTGTGTGTGTCCAAAGAGGATGACGTCGGACGTTAGTTCTCTGATCTCACTGCGAATTTAAATTTATAATCAACGTACCGTTCGCGCGCACGAGCGGCGATGGGATTTTCTGCGCGATTAATTCGCGCGTTTAACTCGATTGATTTTAACACCAGGGCGTCTCTATCGAATCCCTCGCACACTCGCTCCTGCACCTCCGTGAAATTCTGACGTCACACGCGCAGTTTCTCGATTATCGTAGATTCGCGCCGAATTCGCGAGCCGCTCACGGCCTCCGTCATTCATCATGCCGACTAATTTTCCGCTCGGGCGTCGATTCAATTCTCCACGCGTGTTCTCGCAGGAATGCGCCAAGTTCACGCCGCTACCACAATTACCGTTGGGGCATCGACACCGCCAATTTTATTCATTCCGCGCGTCTCGATTATCAATTTTTCCGTTGAGGCGCGTCGACGGCGGGATTTTCTATTGAGCGCTATGAGACGTTGCACGGAACACGATTCGACAGTAGAACAATCGAGGCCGTCGCGTCATCTAAGCGTGTTAACGAATATCGTGCCGGGCTACCTGGTTTTCGCAATTAGCGCGCACCCTTTCACAGAACTTCACACGGACCAAACCAACCAGCCAGCTAACCAGTCAACCAGCCAGTCAGCCAGCAGGCAGCACCTCGTCCTCGTTTCCTCGACCTATAAGGATCCACGCGATCCCGATCGCTTCCCACGCAATCATCTCTCGCGCCGTGTTGGCGATCATAAACCAAATTGTACGTCGATTTCGGTGATCGCGCACTTTGCACGCTGACCTCGAAAATTCTATATATAACTGCCTCTTCCTCCTTCTCCTTCTTCTCCTTCTTCTTCTCTCTCTTCCTCCTCCTTCAACTTCCTTTAATCCTCCTCCGTATAACTGTCGACTTCGTGAGATATAAGGTACCGCTAATTAACTTCAAAAACCGCACTTTCCAATTCGTACAATCGATTAAAGAATTAATCCGCGTGACGACGCGCGGTTCGCTTAAAATAGCTTCTTCTCTCTCTCTCTCTCTCTCTAAATTATTTTTTTTTAATATAAATACCTCGACTAAATGAGCCGCCGTGAAAGTACGACTCGCTCGGCGCCGAAGTGTTAAAAAGAGCTGCACTACGATCTAAGATTTTGGAACGAGAAAGCGAGCGACGACGCGCAATTTGCGTTTTCTCATTGGGCTTTCTCAAGCCGAGGGAAACTCGAATTTCGATACTTCACTCTTCAACGGTCGAGAGGCTCGTACCAGGAGACGGAGACGGCGCGCCGTTTCGGATCGAGAGATCTCGACCCACGTATAAATCGCCCACGATATTTACCCAATAGCCGCCTGATTCTTCTCGCGCAATCGCTCAACACCGCGGCGTACATTCACGCGTTTGTTATAACTCGGCGCTCTCTACGTGTATGACACAATGGGAAATCAAAATACCGCCTCGGCCCCGATAATGACGTCAGTGCCGCTCGGAACGACTCCAAGCGACACGAGCGTGCTCTCCTTAATCACGACTTACTTATGCATTTATTAATTATGTCACCTCGCGCGAGGTAAAATCGCCGTCCGCGCGGACCGCGTTTCGTTGCTTCGACGTTTCTCGCTGAAGCACGCGACAGACGTGACAGGCGCGCGCGTCACGTTCAGTCGATAACGGATAATTAGATTTTATACTTCAAATAACGCGGGAGTACACGCAAAAAAAATTTCAATTGGTGCAACCAAATAGAAAATAGAAACCAAATAGAAACCAACTGAAAATTAGGTGATCAGAAACGATATGTTATGAAAAGTAATAATTCTGTTGTCGCAACCGTAAATATTCGTCTGAAGATTCAACGATATTAGAACTCGGTTGAGGCAATTGAGAACAATTGACTATACAGAAGCCTCATAAAAGAATTTTTCTGTTCCTACAGCCGAGTTTTCGTCTGATCTCTGAGCAACAGAAAATTTGGTTGCACCAACAGAATTGTTTTTTCCGTGTAACTGGTCGTTCGAACGCGAGGTGTTAGCTGCTAAGTTTACGCATGTCTGACAGTGCACGCACCAAACCAATGTCTTGGTTTAGCACACTCTGAGAAAAAAATACTCGAAAATTTATTTGCGGGATATCAAGTTCACTCGCAGAAATAAACATCTCAAAAACAAATGTTCAAGTATTTTTTCTCGGTGCATATACTGAGAAAAAAATTATATTAAAATCAGCAAATATTTCTTTGATGGGTGCCATTAACATACTTAAATCTACATTTTCTTTATTTAAATCAAATATTGTTTACTTGATTTAAATAAACAATATTTGGTTTAAATAAAGAGAGTGTAGATTTAAGTAAATATGTTAATGGCACCCATCAAGGAAATATTTGTTGGTTTTAATATAATTTTTCTCTCACTGTACACTTCTACACAGAGAGAAAAAATATCTGAAGAATAAACGATATTTATGCGGTAGATATTGACGCGTTTACTTAATTCTCTTGTTTAAATAAAATAAACAACTGTTTTAATGAAAAAACTGCGATTTTAGGAGAATATGTGCTTTCTCATTCGAATACGGCGATAAGATCTAGTTGGATAAGTGAATTTCTGGTGAGGTACGAACGAATGCGATTAATTAGATCTCCTAACGTAAGAGTAATGCGCCGATAATGGCGTAGACGGCGACGCGCTCTCGCATGCTTATGCATACGAAATTCAGAAAAATAGGGCCCGATTTAATTGAGCAATCCAACGGGACTACGATGACGATAACTTCACGGCTAGATGGATAAATTTGGTATATCTCGTAATTACAAGCTGCGCACGCGGGTCTCGTCTACACACGCCTTGGCTCTATCCGCATTATCATACCCCGCGAGGCCGGTCACACCTATCCATCATGAGAGCGTTATCCGTGCCGCGCTCACATTCGAAGTGGACGCAAGTACGCACACGCGCGCGTAATAACGGATATTGCGGAATACAATAATTTTCAAGCGGCCGGGAGAAAGTAGAGTCGATAACTCAAGGAAACGGGCTAAACAAGGCAGAACTTTTGACGTGTCGCAATCGATAATTATGGCAATTGCGTAATGCGCGGCGTCCGTTCAAGGCGGAGGAGGAGAAGGAGGAGGAGGAGGAGGAGGAGGAGACTCAGGAGGATCGTCTCGACGATTCTCTTCCTTCCTTTTCTGTCTTTTTTCTCTTTCCTTTCCCTTTGTCCACCGGTTTCGCGATCGAGACTACTATTTCCATGTCGGACTCGCGGCGGACTCGGTTTCACCTCGCCTGCAATTGCACACGGTTGCAATTTGCGGACGCAGCGGCGTGTCTCGCGCCGTCCGAGGCGAATGCGCTGCGCGCGAGAGCGCCGATAAAATGTATTATTAATCGTTCCGCGAAAATGTACTATTTGCAAGATAGCGCGCGATAATGGCGACGTCGGGAGGATACTCTCTCAGCCGGCGGCTCGCGGACCGGCGCGTCGTTAAAAATAATTGCGAGCCACGCGCGAGTCGAGAATCGCGAGAGGCCGCGAGATCTCATCTCGCGATCGCGATTCCGAATCCTTCTCCAAGGGAACACGCGTAGGCGAAAGCCGGCGCGCCGGCGAGATTATTCGCACGTTATTTATTTGGATAACGATAACGTGCAACTAGCCGGTACATTACGCTACCACCTGCCGGCTCCGTTATTTATCGGCGCGCTTCCAACCCTGACCAGACGAAAAATGCAATCGCAATGGGTAAGCATCACGCTTATCCCGGTTTCCACGACTCGATTTTCCTCCCTCTTTCATCTTTCCTCCTTCTCCTCTTTCTTTCTCTCTCGCTTTCCGCATTTTTTTTGTATTTTACAGCACCGATATTTTATGCGTTGTTGTGGAAGCCGGTGGAGCCGCGCGCCGCGATTTTGCGTTACAGAAGAGGATGTTGGAAATCTGGCACGCCACGCTGGAAAGCCGCGCGCGCTCGCATTTCCGCGGCATTGTAGTAAGGCTGATACGAAATCGTGGAGGCAACGGGGCAGAGCGGTGAGAAGAGAGGAACAACGGTAGAATGGAACCGGGAGTGCGGAGAACTATGCGGGTCAATTGCGCCGAAAGGTCGCGAAATGAACGCGCAATGCGTGTGTGTGTGTGTGTGTGTGTGTGTGTGTGTGCACGAGAAAAAATCTCAATTCACGCGACTAAAGGAGAACTCGGGATGACGAGGAATGATACGTCTTCGTTACTGCGACGGCAAACATTCGTCTGGACATTTGGCTGCTTCAAGTGTATTGCTTATGTTTCAAAAAAAAATCTAACTCAATTCAGATCTGAGAATCTCACGTGAAACAGTGAGTTTCAAGTAACGACTATTAAGGGGATGCTGGAGTCGATGACGAACTCGAATAATATCGATAATGCAGAGACGATTGTCACTAATCACGCTATCCTTTTCGTATTTCTTGTATATACAGAACTTACATAAATGGTTGCGTTCAGCAGAGAAAGCTGCTTTGCAACTGTTGTAAATTTCGTGAATCTGATTGGTACATGCTCTTGAATTTAACCAAAATTAAGAGCATACTCCAATCAGATTCACGAATTTTGCAACAATTGCAAAGCAGCTTTCTCTGCTGAACGCAGTCAATTGTTTTATTTTACCATATTCAACGGAAAATCTAACCTAAAATATAGAAATCTTTCTGCAAACTTTTTCGATATTCTTAAGCTTCCAAATGCAGATGCAAAGATAGAGCAATGTTCTTCAAAATTTTTCATCCACACTTTCGACATGTGCAAGCTACGGAACTTTTGAATTAGGCAAATATTATGCTAACTGACAGCTTGAGATTTTACATTAAACATTTTTTGTTCGTTTTCTTCGCATATCGAGCAATGCTCTTATTTATTTTTGCATGTACTTTCATTGCGTAAAAGCATTTGTAATTCTATGTAACCAATACGACGTAAACTTTGCAGAAAAATGTCAGTATTCTGTCGGTAAAGTTTTCAGCTTCAATATCCCCTTAATACGGACCTCAGTGTAGCAAAATTTAAATAAATTTATGTGACAAAAAAAACAATAATATTTTCTCCATGTACAGCCCTATTCCATGTAAGTCCCTATTTTTATTAGGAAATTCAGTTACGCACTCACAAAACTACTTGTCCCGTGTAGAAATTGAATTCTGGAAAACGCCCGTCGCAAAATTGCTTTCGCGACCTCGGATCCGCGCCAGTGTGGATAAAAATGACAACAGTCGCGACGACTCATTGATAGTTTCTGCCACTCTCATCACAAGCGTGATAATCGCTATGGTTGCGAACGACCTATTCGTGTATTCGGCAAGAGCCAACGATAGATTATTCTTCCGCAAAGAGTCCCCGCCGCGCAGAAATTGCGGGAGCGCGAATTTCTCCTCGCACCGCGATATGATATTAAACGATCAAGTAAATAAGCGAATCTCCGGCGCGTCCGCTCCGTCTAGAAACTGTGGGAGGTCGCGCGGCTTTTGTCAATGCAACGCGTCTGGAAAGCAATTATGATTACTGATTACTGCTGTACACCTACGATTACGATCTCGCAGCACGCGGAGCGCAGCGGCGCGGCGGGCGTTTTCTTTTCCTCTTTTCACGCCGCAGTCGCGGTCACGCTGCCTCTAGCACGTCCCGAGAACCCGTTTTGAAAGAAAGAGAACTCGCTCCTAAGTGACACGCGGAATACGGTTTAAGGTCCACCTAGTTCTCACGGCGCGTTTCGCCACACCGCGCTATCTACTGCGTATGCTGTCGCTGTTCTACGCGCGACCAGACTCGACGTGACATTAATATACCCGGGCTCGCTCGCTTTCTACAAAATGGATATTTCGGCCCCTTTTGCTGCCAAGGAACGCGCTGGATAACACGTGGCCGCCGAATGAGGAGACGCGTTTTTCGTTTATTCGCTTCCCCGCGCCCGATTTATGTTCGCAGCGCAGCCCACACGCGCGCCGGCACACGAAAACTAGATAGGAAAATGGCACCAACAATAATCCCTAGGCAACAGTTTTAATTTCTACGGATTAGTGATACTCTTGAAGTAGCAAATCCATGAATTTTGCAGAGTCGTTTTGACATATGCGTGTGAATGTGTCAAGTAACAAACTGTCACTAATCCGCAGAAATTAAAATTGTGTTGCCTAGGGGTTTTTGTTGGTACCAACATTTTCCATCTACACGCAAAAAAATTTCAGTTGGTGCAACCAAATAGGAACCAACTGCAAAATAAGGTGATCAGAAGCGATATCTCTGTTATGAAAACTAATATTTCTATTGTCGCAACCGAAAATATTCGTCTGAATATTCAACGATATTAGAACTTGGTTGAGGTAACTGAAAACGATTGACTATACAGAAGCCTTATAAAGGAATTTTTCTGTTCCTACAGCTGAGCTTTCGTCTGATCCCTGAGCAACCAAAAATTCGGTTGCACCAACACAATTGTTTTTTCCGTGTAGCTTTCGGGAAAATGTCGTGTAACCCGCGTGCCGTCTGTGGTCAATTTGCGTTATTTAAAATTGTGTTGCCTAGGTTTTTGTTGGTACCAACATTTTCCATCTACACGCAAAAAAATTTCAGTTGGTGCAACCAAATAGGAACCAACTGCAAAATAATGTGATCAGAAGCGATATCTCTGTTATGAAAACTAATATTTCTATTGTCGCAACCGAAAATATTCGTTTGAATATTCAACGATATTAGAACTTAGTTGAGGTAATTGAGAACAATTGACTATACAGAAGCCTCATAAAAGGGATTTTTCTATTCCTACAGCTGAGTTTTCGTCTGATCCCTGAGCAAC